AGCCCGGCCTCTCCTCCAGGGAGGAGGGCATCTCCTCAGGGTGGGGGCTGTGGTTCCTGGCCCTGGCCACTCTTTGTGGGAGAGCTTCCCCTTGCTGGGTGGGTGGGGTGGGCTGCCTGGACCCTGGATGGTCCCCAGGGGCTGTGGTGGAGGGACTGGGGCATAGGGGGGCTCCCCATGGTCCTGCACTGTTTGGGGCCGGGGGGCCACTTACCCAATCCAGTGGCCAGCAAAGTGAAGCTCTGTCCCTTGTCCCTCTTCTGCTGGTGACCTGTGGTGACCTGTCCTCTGATCAGTCCCCTCCCTTTCCATGTTCTGGAAAACAATCCCATTCCAGGTGCATCCCGTTGTCCTGGCACAACCAAACCCTGACTTCACTCTCTGTTAGGAGAAGAGGAAGCTGCATAGCAAAGTTGGTGGCCCTAGCTCTGACTATTTAGGAGGAGTTTTTGAACAAACGGACAGGCAGACAGACAGGCAGACTCAGACTCTCTCTCTCTTGGCAGCAGACAGAAACACTTTTCTCCCATCAGTCCATTCTTCAGTGCATGACCAATACCGTGATGCATTACACGGCACAAACAAACACCGACTGCCGTGTGACTGCAGGCTGCTGCCTTAGCCCCGGGCAGAAAAGTAGTGGAACATGCATAAAATACACCGCCTGAAGCTGACTCTGTCCCGCTTGCCCAAGGCTGTCCTAGCTCAATTCACAGCTGCATCAGCGAATGTGTTTAGACACTTTCTGCCAGTTCTGGTCAACTCGGTTTCTAGGAGTTCGGGCCCTTTCTTGGGATTGGCTCATGTCTCGGCCGGCCTTAGCCCCGGGCAGAAAAGTAGTGGAACATGCATAAAATACACCGCCTGAAGCTGACTCTGTCCCGCTTGCCCAAGGCTGTCCTAGCTCAATTCACAGCTGCATCAGCGAATGTGTTTAGACACTTTCTGCCAGTTCTGGTCAACTCGGTTTCTAGGAGTTCGGGCCCTTTCTTGGGATTGGCTCATGTCTCGGCCGGGCTGTCCAAGGGCGGTTCAACTGGACACGCTGCACAGCCCCTGCACCGCGTTCCGCTCGGTCCCCCTGGTGCTAGCCGGCGGCCACGCCATCTTCCTGGCTGGGCCGCCCCCCCC